CCACCATGCCTGACTAATTTTTTCTATATATATATTAGTTGGCCAATTAATCTCTTTCTATTTATAGTAGAGACAAGGTCTCACTCTTGCTCAGGCTGGTTTCAAACTCCTGACCTTGAGCAATAAGCCCACCTCGGCCTCCCAGAGTGCTAGGATTACAGGCGTGAGCCACCGCGCCCGGCCTAAGTCATCATTTTGACTTGCCTACAAGGCTAGGTAAATCACAGGTACTAATTTGTGGCTTTAAAACCATAGCTAGACTCTTCATTACGAAAGGTCAGGTTCATAAAGAGGTCATTGTGGAGATTGTAAAAATTTAAAAACCTACCACACAGAAGTCTGTGGTAAACAGTTTAGGTAGAATCAGTAAGTAAATAATTCTATAAAACATCCATACTCAGGACAGGGTAAATAGTATCTTACTATTTTTCTGAAGTAGGGGTAGGAGAGAAAAAGATACTATGCTTTGTACGCTTACTTTTAATTCCTTATTTGATCCTCAAAAACTCCAATGAGAAAAATATTTTAAATTCCAAACTGAATCTCAGACAAGTAACTTACCCAAGATCATAGGCTGTTAAGTGACAGAGCCAGAATTTAGACCCATGTATGACTCCAAAGCCTGTTTTTTCCTGCTACACTAAGATACCACTCTTCCATAGGAATTTATGAAGAGGTAAATATGAGCTAATTCAAATTAAGATCATTTATTTATTTGGTAAGTGACACCTCTGCATTCATCAACTCAACAAATATTTAAGAAATAGCTATTGTGTCAAGCACTGGGCTAGATATGTTTCATATGAACAAACTGAGACTTGAGAACTTAAGGTACTTGTCACAAGACATATGGCTATTAAGTAATGAAAAGACCAGAACTCAGAAAGTCCTACTCCAGAGACCACACTCTCAACTACTTCACTATATTGCCTCACTAACATTTAAAGGAAAACATGAGTGAAGCATTAGTGTTTTCCATTGCAGAAAAAAAAAAAAAAAAGTAAGCCATTTTAACTCCACACAGTCTTGGAAGGAGGCCTACTAATGGCCCCATTGGCTGAAAAAGGGAAATGTTTATTCTTTTCTCAAAGCAACTTCATAGTCTTATGCATATTCATTCTAGATATGGAATAAATAACAATACTCCTAACTACCTTGATAATAAATAATATTACCACTTTATATTTGTTTAGTGCTTTTTAAGTTTTCCAAAATGTTTTCACATACATTATTCTAATAGCTATAGCTCCCTATCTTTATTCTTACAGAATAAAGCCAAAAGTTCTGGCAAGATCCCTTACATCTCTGCCTTTCTAGCTTAATTTTCTACCAGTCATATTGATGAAAGTTACGTTTCAGCTACACTAGTTCCTGAAGGTTCTACCTTTGTTCATGTCCCTATATATACAATTCCCTTTGCTTAGAATGGTCTTCCCTTTTACCTGCCTGATACATTCCTGCTGCTCTTTCAAGAGCTGGTTCAAACGTCTTCCTTATGTAATCTTTAGCTCTATGAATCAATCATTCCGTTCTCAATGACCACCAGTTCATTTTTTACACACCCAGCACAGGATTTATAATTATACATGTGTTTTCTTTTTCTAAAAGACTGAGCTCCTTGAGAGCAGAGACTATGCCTTTTTCACCTTTGTTTCTCCAAAACCAAACTCATAGAAGGTGATCAATATTTATGAAATGATTAAAACACTGATTATATAAGCCACTAAAATAGAAATCAGAAAACCTAAGTATAAGTCTTAGACAAAAATGGAAAAGAAGTTTAAAGTTCAGTTTTTTCAGCTCTGTAAAATAAGTAACTTTCAATTCAATTAAACATTTATTACAATGACTATGCTTCCTACTCATTTAATAGGAATCGTTTAACAGATGGGAATATTCTGAGAGTTCTTGAGAAGGGTCACAAAAAATTGAAATAACTGCCATTACCTCCTCCATCATGATATCCTGTGTGGCTGAGATTTCTCCTTTGGTCGCTCCGCTGTGTACGAGATTCCGCAGTCGTATACAGAATTCTCTCATCTATGACAGAAACATATTCAGCACTCCAATAGTTACCCAAATTCAATTGTAAATGAGCCTAACAGATCAATGTTAGTTCTATTTTGAAGTATAACTCAGCCAAGACCCATGAAAAAGTTCTTGAAAGCAAAGATGTGTTTTTCCCCAACTAGTCCACTTTAATGCATAAAGATATTTTCATAAGGAGAAAAGATATAGATTATTCCCAAAGAATACTAAATGGAACTGCTCTTGCTCTGCAAATGTGACATTATGTGCCCGGACACAGGGAAAACATCTGATCTTATGATGCCTACTACTCTTAGAAAAAGCAGGAGACAAAATGATTATGCCACTAAGTCACTATAACAGATTTTTATTTAGAATTTTCATAGTTGTCCACTACTTCTTTGCCAAATCACTGTGACTACAGTTATGCCAACCCCCAATATAGTTTTCATTTTTGTTGTTTTCAATTTTAAGAGATGCCCAAGATAAAGGTGAGTCTGAAATTTAACCACAGTGCTAAAGAGGACCTTGCTCCCACTCAAAATGGAATCCAGGACCGACGTGGTAGCTCACACTTGTAATCCTAGCACTTTGGGAGGCTGAGGCAGGAGGATCGCTTGAGCTCAGGAATTTGTGACCAGCCTGAGCAACACAGCAAGACTCTGTCTCTACAAAACATTTAAAAAAATTAGTCAGGTGTGGCAGTGCTTGCCTGTAGTCCTAGCTACTTGGGAGGGTGAGCCAGGATGATTGCTTGAGCCTGTGAGTTTGAGGTTGCAGTGAGCTATGATCATGCCACTGCACTCAAGCCTGGGAGACGGACCAAGACCCTGTCTCAGAAAAAAAAAAAAAAGGAATCCAACGCTATACTATTAATTATCTTTTAGCCTTTGGATAAAAATTTCCCGAGTTTTCAGGGTAGAAAATAACCTGCTTCTAATATGGGGGAAACACATCGATACTTTATTTTAAAATGTAATCTTTTTTTCCAGGAATGACAAATTCAATTTTAGCCCCACAGTAGATCCTGGCAACTCCAAGTTATCAAAAAAGAAGCCTGGCCAGCAGAGCAGCATCCTGTAAGATTTATAATTCTCCTTGGGAAAATGGGTTATGTAAAGAAGAATGATTCATTAAGATAACTGAAACAATAAAAAGCAGTTCAGTGACTACTTCAAATATTTAGTGGGTGGATAAACAACATTGATGTGGCCTGAGGAAGTCTCAGCATGCAGCATACTCTTTGAGGGAGTCTTGCAAATACTTCTTTTTTTTTGAGACAGAGTCTCACTCTGTTGCACGCAGCTAGAGTTGCCATAGCATCAGCCTAGCTCACAGCAACCTCAAACTCCTGGGCCAAGCATCCTTCTGCCTCAGCCCCCTGAGTAGCTGGGGACATACAGGCATGTGCCACCATGCTCGGCTAATTTTTTCCTATATATTTTAGTTTGGCCAATTAAATTCTTTCCTATTTTTAGTAGAGACAGGGTCTCACTTCATTGCATCCAGGCGAGTTTCAAACTCACTTGACCCTTGAAGCAATATCCCCTCGGCCTACCAGAGTGCTAGGATTACAGGCGAGAGCCACCGTGTTCGGCCCAAATACTTCTTTTTGATTTTACTAGTGCATAAGTGCACTAGCATTTTACTAGTGCATAAGCCCACCAATACTAGAACAATGTGAGAGACACAGTATTCAGTGTTCATGACCCATATTAATTGGGTATGGAACGAACTTTCCTGAGTACTCCTAAGAAAACATGAAAATCAACCAAAATAAAAATAGAAGTTTTTTAAAAGAAAAAAACCTTTACTTTCAATTATTTTTAAGGTTAATATGTAGCTAAATTGCTTTTGACAGACATTGACATCAGTAGCTATCTTGTACATAAACTGTGTACACTGAAATACCCAGGAATTCCTTTTAAAAAAAAATCAGAAGTTTTTTGGTTTTTCTTTTTGAGACAGCATTTTATTCTGTCACCCATGCTACAGTGCAGTGGTGTCATCATAGCTCACTGCAACTGTAACCGGCTTCATAAACAAAAAAACTTCAATAGTTTTTTTTTTTAGTTCTCTTATCTTTCAAGTTCCCAGACCAGTAATATTTGCTGACCAGAACTTTGTAACTTTCTGTTGCATTAATGAATTCTCTTTTGAATTTCTTTCCTAGAAATGAGAAACCTGCTTGAAGCCACAAGATAACTACAAAGCTTCATACCACTTGTTTCTCTGGAGAAGATAATTTAAGTGATACTCTACCACAGATTGCACCCAAAGATCTACTGAGCTTGCTCACAAGGCTAAAAAAAATGACCAATATTAACTCCTAGTTCATTATAATACTAAAATCCCCACCCTGGGAGGGACTTAAAGCCATTTTTTGATCATGGAACATATGTACTAGCATGATTCCTCACTGCATGCTCCTAAACTCCATATCATGATATATAGAACTCCATGTAATGATGTAATGATGCTCACACCTCTCACATTATTCATTTCACCTCCAAGAAAACCTCCTGACCTTGTCAGTTGGAGAAGCAAATTTGAGTTCATAACCTCCCACTTCAAGGAGATGTGTCTTCTACAATAAATCCTTTCTTCCTCAACAATGCTTGTTGTCTCAGTAATTGGCCTTCTGTGTGGCAACAACATTGAGGTCAACCTTGTAGGTTTGTTAACAAAACCCCAAACTCCTGGGCTCAAGCCAATCCTCCTGCCTCAGCCTCCCAAATAGCTGGGTCTACAGGTGAATGCCACGACACCTGACTAGGTTTTATATTTTTTGAAAAGACAGGGTCTCACTATGTTGCTCAGGTTAGTCTTAAACTCCTGGTTTCAAGCGATCCTCCTGCCTTGGCCTCCCAAAGTACTAGGATTACAGGCATGAGCCACCAAGCCTGGACAGAAGTTTTAAGGTAAGTATGGTAAACTCAATTCCACCCTGCTCCATATACTGTACCTTGTGATTCAGAATATCATTCATCCTTCTGGTTGCCTCTGTTGTATAAGATTCAGGGAAGCATTTCTTAGGGACAACACCATATTTTTCTAAAAGAAAACAAATGTTAGTGTTCAATAAGGTAAAATATACTCTAGATTTAGAAATCTTGGCAAAAATAGCACCTGCTTTAAAAAGTAGGAAATTTTAATTCAGAAAATCTTATACTTCATATTATTAAACAGGTTTCTAATGTGCATATTTCTCTCTCTTAGAATTAATTCTACTCCTTTTATTCATCATACTTTGTTAAGTGCTCAGCATGATGGGGTTTCCACAAAAGACAATGTTTTGAATGAAGACATTATGAAATGTTTACAGTTTTAATGTTTCTTGATTATGTCAATGGACAGGAGATGAGCTTTTTAATGTAAAGTTACTTCTATTTAGTACTATCTTTTCTTCTCCAACCCACCCTTTACAGTACCTATCTCCTTATTCCTCTCATTTAAGAAAGGCATGTGAAATAAAGGTTCTTAGAGCTAACTATATATCCTTCTATCCACCAAAGAAACAGCCTACACCTAACTACAGAGCCTTGCTCAATCATGTGGAGTTTCAATTCCATTAAAGAAAGGCTCTTACCAACAATATTGACAAGCATATCCCATTGCCCACCATCATTTGCAGGGTTCGTAAGCAAAAACTGCACCAGCCTCCCATCCTCAGGCTCCTTTTTCTGGGCTGTGTCCACAAAAGCATTCAAGAAGAAATAACAGCGTTCAACCTAAAGGAAATTAAATAAAATTAAAGGAAAAGAGAGTCAATAAACTTACTGACATTGTTGACAGAATGAGAGTCATGGAATTACCATGGGCTCAACATAATAGTGTTTTTTTCTTTTTTAAACTATGAAACACTTCACAAATTTGCATGTCATCCTTGTATAGGAGCCATGCTAATAATCTCTGTATCATTCCAATTTTGGTATAAGTGATGATGAAACAAACACCATAATAGATATTTTTAAATTAAAATTGATAATTAAATATGAGTATTTGGCTTCATAAGAATATTTAAAGTTTCTTCTTATACCTGTGTGTATACTTCAATATATTATATATATGTATACAGTGCATACATTCCGATACTAAAACAAAACCTGATATTTAGTCTTCAATCAATAAACATCTAATGGACACTTATGTAATATACATTTGAAACATTAAAAAATGAAATAAAATTATTTGCTGATTTTCAGACAAGTACTACCAGAGAAGGGTAGGTTCTAGAAAAGACTAAATAACCTAAATAAAGATGCTAAAAAGGGAAATTATTGAAAATAAAATTTTAAATTTTAAATAAAGAAACAAGCAAGCAGTAAGGTGAGTCAGTAGACTTATTACTTCATTGTAAAAAGTAGCCACCTACCAACCAAAAGCAGTTCTACCTTTGAAAAGAGTCAATTTTTGAGACTTTGGAAATCAGAATAAAAGGTGTCTCACCTATAATGAAAGGACAGACTACAACTGGAAAAGCAAGAAATGAAGATACCTCTACCGTCCCTACTAAGGTTGATATGGAAACAGAAAGAATCTTGCCAGATCAGTCCCATACCTTGTCCCAGAAAAACAGGTAAGACTGACTAAACTCAAATTCTTCAATATTTAATTTTTTCATGAATGGAAGTCTCATAACATTCAGACAAGAAAAGATCCAGCATCGCCCTGAAATAAAAAAGCAGATCAAGAAATTATGATGAGTGTTCACATAGATTACATTGCTCCAACAATGAACCCGTGACAAGATTTGGATAATTCAAGACTAAATCAGAAAGAGCAGAAAGATTAAGAACAAAACAAAACAAAAAGATAATAATTACTATTTGCAATATATATATGTAAAGCTAACATCTTTAACAAATAAATAAAAATTTGGCCAGCCATGGTTGCTAGCATTTTGGGAGGCTAAGGCAACTGCCTGAAGTCAGGAGTTTGAGACCAACCTAAGCCACATAGCGAGACCTCATCTGTACAAAAAATAAAATTAAAAAAGATAAGCCAGGTGTGGTAGTGCATGCCTGGAGTTCTAGCTACTCAGGAGGCTGAGGCAGGAGGATTGGCTTGAGCCCAGGAGTTTAAGGTTGCAGTGGGTTATAATGACATCACTGCACTCTAGCCTGGGGGGCAGAGTGAGACCCTGCTTCAAAAAAAAAAAAATCCCTTCACATATCACATAAGAGGCCATAACAGGGCTGGGTATGGTGGCTCATGCCTATAACTCTAGTGCTTTGGGAGGCTGAGGCAGGAGAATCACATGAGGCCAGGAGTTCAAGACCAGCCAGGGAAACACAGTGAGACCCCATCTCTACAAAAAATTTTTTTAAATTAGCCAAGCATGGTGGCATACACTAGTTCTAGCCAGTCAAGAGGCTGAGGAGGGAGGATTGCTTGAGCCTAGAACTTCGAGGTTACAGTGAGCTACAATTGTGTCACTATGCTCCAGCCTGGGCAAAAGAGTAAGACCGTGTTTCTAAAATAAAAATAAATAAACAAAAAAGGATCCATTACAAATCACCTAAGAAAATCACATTAGAAAAAAAAAACTGCTAGAAAAACATGACCAGAGATCACAAATAGATCATTCAGTGGCCAAAAAAGACATAAATGGCAAAGAAACATTTTTTTCAATCTCATCATAAAAGACACCTAGTAAGTGGGGAGACATTTTTTTTAATTGATAATGCCCAATATTGCCAAGGACATGGGGAAAAAAACATTGTTATCATTCTATATAGGGATCTAAATAGGTACAAAATTCCTGCGTATGATTTGGCAATACCTAGCAAAAGCTTTTTAAAGTCCCTGTCTTTTAATCTGGAATATACAGTATATGCTTCATTATAGGGTGAACTTAAATTAGTCCTCCATTCTCATAGTGATAAGTCAAAAAAAAAAAAAAAAAGCGAGGCATTTGGCTAACTGAATTATGTACACACTTAAAGATATAGATGAAACAGTAGACTGTCTACCTATAATATTTAATTTAGTAATTTAAATATATACAGATATTTAAAATCATGTTAACATAAAAAAATTGATTTAGAAGCACTGTTTTTCCTACTTTTACATTTCATTTTCACACTGATTTATACTCTTCAAATGCAACCTGCCATCCTTAGATCCACTCTTTGAATCAGAACATGTCTTTTTTCCATTCAGTATGTTTGAGTCATAGCAATGTTTTGAATCCATGCATTTTGCTGTCCCTGAAAATTTCATGCCATGCACCAACTATACAATCAGATGCTTCATTTGTCCTGTAAGTATATAATCACAAACTCCACAATGTCACCACTTCCAGTACTGATTTAAGTGATCTTTAAAAGGCCTATTTACAATGATAGCCAACATTTCCATATGTGGTCATGTCCTAGGAATACACCATGTTCAAATTTCTCCCCTTTTAAAAAAACTGATTCAAACAAATGATCTCCATAAGCATCCAAAACTAGCATAGATTTGTGATTATTTCAGAGTAACGTCTTTTCTAAATTGTACTTCTACTTCAAAATAACTGAGAGTGCCCATTATGAGGGTTTTTGTAAGGCCTTAAATACAGGGTAATTCTCTTTTCTGAAGGAAAATTCACAGAGAAAAGCCTTTACTTACATTTAGGTATAATTTTTTACTGATACGAAAATATATTCACAATATTTTGGTAAGTGAAAAAGGTAGGTAGATTATCTAACAATGTGTAAGGTATCAACCCATATTGAACACACACACACACAGAGAGACCTGAAGGATAATACAGAAAATATTCACTTGGTGTTTTGCAAATATTCTACCTTGAACAGGAATAACTTTGTAACAAGAAAAAAAGTGTAAACTAAGTAACTATAGTGTCTTTGGAAAAGTTGCTAATGCCTCAGTACTGCTCATCTTTACCTTAGGTTTATCTGTATGCCACCTCTCTTCTGTACACTATATATTTCTAGTAAAGGAAATCTGGATGAACTGTTAATGTGGAAACTGGATGGAAATAAACTACATAGCCCAAGTGCTATTTGGATTTTTTTGTAAATAAAAGTGACACTACAGAATGTATAAGACCTGACCTGTTCCAAATTAGCATTTCCAGGCTTTTCTCTAAGAGGTCAATGCAGTACAAATTCTGTAGGACCACTATGACATTAGTAATGGAATCATTCATAGCCTGAGAGCCTATACCAACCCAAGCACTTTTCCTCTATAGCAAAACATTAATTATTGTAAGATCTTGACTTTTTTCCTTAAAAATTCAAAATCAACTTTCTTAAGGTATAATGTACATACAATAAAATATACACTTGTTAAATGTATACTTTGTGAGTTCTGACTGGCTCTTATGTGCTTTCTGTCAATACAGAGTGGGAATAGTTTTTAAATGGATAAAAACTTTCAAAAATCCTTTTAGTACAATTTTGTTGTGACAATGTTCTCTTCATATTTATCCTGGATAACCAATCTTTCACTGTAGCTGTTTTTCTGACAATGGTGCTAGATAGTAGATAGCAAAACAAGACTTCTTGACCAAAAAGGCATGGGAATTGGATTTTTTTCTGTATTACAAACTGGTCTATTGGTGGGAACTGAGCCCATGAGCACATTAGCTTTACTTGTAACCAAGAAGCATATTTAAAAGCTACATTTGATGACATTTTGATATAATTACATTATGTCTCTTCTGTTTCATACATTTGCATATGGCCTTCAGGGCAACTCTGGGGAGTCTTCTAGGGTATGAACATTTTTGCATTCTGTTTTGTGATCACGAGCATACACCTGCAAGCCATGGGCTACAATCACTTAACATCAGGCCAGAATATAGTTAATTACACTCAAACATATGATCATGGACTTGTCACTTCAGTACCCAAACCAAATGTGTTAATAAGCCATGCGGGTAATGTTCCTAGAACTACTTTTACCCATGCCTATTCTCTAGGAATTTACTACAAGTTCTTTCAGTACAAATCTGTTCCCCTAACACCATTCTTAAGTAAGACACCAAAATGGGACGGTGTCAAGAAGTTCAAATAAAGTATGCAAGAAGTTTGAGACCTCACCTGAGCTCTTCTGGTTGGTGACAGGCTTGCCCTCCTGAGGCACAACATGCTGGAACACATGCTGAGTACCCTGTACCGTTGCTCTCTTCAGACAGATGTCCAGAAGGTCGTGAGTAGTCCCGACATTCTGAGCAAGTACGAACTGGGAGTCGCAATTCAGTTTCTGAATCAGGGCAGCTACCTTCTCCGAATTCAGTCCTGCTGGGAGACCAAACAAGATTTTAACACCAAAAAGAGGCTGAAGAGGGCTGATACAGGACTCCCATATCCCGGGTCCAACTTCTTAAGCGCATCCTGAGGTGACCACTGCACCGGGGAAGCCCTTTACGGGCGTCCTCCTCCAAGAAGCAGTCTCCCTCCAGGCCGCTCCAGCCGGCCCAGAAAGCTCCATCCCAGCCATCGCCCCTAGCCCCAGCCCCCGGCCTTCCCGACGCTGCCGGGCCTCACGGGTGCCGCTGAGCTCCTCCAGAGAGGACCCTGGCAGAACCTCGGCGGGGAACAGCCGCGCCTCACCCGCGTTGTTCATGGCGCCCACGATGCCCGGCGGGGTAACGGTAGTATTCGGGGTCCTCAGGCGAGGGCCGGGGTTGCACTGAGGCTTGCTGCCTAGGTGGCCGGACCTGACTCTGGCACCCGGAGCGCCGGAAAAAGGAAACCGGCTCAGTGGTGGCGGGGAAGCTGAAGCCAAGAGAAACGGGGTCCGCGGAGGGACAAAACTCCCCCCTCGCGTTGCTGAGTCAGCGCCGTCGGGGCTGGCCCCGCCCGGGGGAGGGCCGACGGGGGCGGCCTAGGTGACGTGCTGGGTGCTGCCGGCGCCCCCGCCCGGGCGCGTCCCCAGGCCGCTCCGGACCCAGTTCCCAGCCTCGTGGCCGCCCTGCGCTGCCCACCGTCAGCCCGGGCGGCGCCAGGGCCCTCGGCCATCTGTAATCCCGCTTCCTGGCCATGCGGGCGCCCTCCCAGAGATCAGGTCCTGGCCGGGGCGGCAGCCTGCGGATTCCGTACTGGGCCTCGACCCCGAATACTCTAGCATCGGGGAATTGACCTCATTAGCCTTTTGAGAAGCCAAAGGGGGCTCAAGGCGGAAAGGAGAAGCTGAGGGGCCCCATAATTAATAAGCACGGGACTTAGGGTGGGTTGATAAGTCACAAGGAATGCACCCAAAGGTTCTTCCTATAGGCATCCTTTGCTGACCAGTCACTGCACTTTCAATGGCAACTTGTTGCTTGGAGTCTAGTCAGATCCAGATTCCTGTATTTGAGAGGGAATTGGAACTAAGCTCTTTCCCACCCACTCAGAAGCTACTACCACAGTTCTACAAATAGACATCTGCTCATTTCATGAAAACTGCCCATCTGGGCTTCATGGAGTCCGCCAGTGTCTCCTCCGTAGCTCAGTGTGCGCTGTAGGGTGTAACTAAGGGGAACGACAGGGGTCAATCTTACGTGTCAATGCTATTTTGTCAGGCTTTCTACAAAACCTGTAAATGATGCTCCCCTTCTAGGCTTTCAAGATAACGCAGCAGTTTTCCAAGGTTTTGAGATTGCTAAAACCTTGGTTTTTGTTAATATTGTTTTTCGTGCCCTGCAATCTTAACCTTTAGTGAGATACTGGGATGGAACCCATAGGTGATAAAACAAATAACGTATTTATTTATCTGCTTTAACACTGAAACCCTGTCTCTGCTATTCAAAACAGATTTTTGTGGAACCTAGAATCTAGGTCTTAGGTTGAAAATCATCCTGGAAAAACCCATACTCAGGCACTAATCATTTGAAAAATCACAGTCTCTGTGTCTCTAGAAAAAGTTAGCTAAAGATTGGGGATATGACATAGCAACTATCTTAATTGGGGTCCATTAATCCTTCTAGTCTAAGATTCTTTCAATACTGAAGAAGAATAACCAGTTGAAAATTACACTGAAAGAAATCACTGTTGGTCTTTTCACAAAATGATGTTCAAGCATCCTGCCCAATCCAAACCATAAATTTTTATTCAATATCTACCATATACCAGGTACTGGACAAGCTGATGATAAGGAGACTAACAAAGCTTAATCTTGCCCTTGAGAAACACATAATGTTTCCTTGTCCACCCCCACTGCTTCACTCTTCTAGCCTTTAAAAAAAAAGAAAGAAAGAAAGAAAGAAACTCATAATGTAGTGGAAAAGAGATACAAAACAACTTTTGGACAATACCCTCTGTACCAGCATACCCATAGTGCTATAGAAGCAGTGAAGAGAGAGCTGTGAATTAGGGCCAGAGGGTGCCTGAAAAAAGAGGTGACAGGTGAGTATAATAAGAGTGGATGGGATTTTACAAGGCAAAGAACAGAAGGACATTCAAGACACCAGCAAAGGCACAGAAACATTAAAGCACATGGCAAAGTCATATTCAAGAAACTGCATCATAGTCTGATGTGGTTAAGAGTAAGGAACGAGTTGGGATCAGAGACAAGGGGTAGGACTGGAAAGGTAGGTTTGGGCCAGTATATGAAGCATTTTATATGCTACACCTTATGGTTAATTAGAAGCCAAAATAGGTTTTTAAACTAAGGAGAAATATTCTGTGGTCTGTGTAAAGAAAAATCTGATGGCAAGAGAGAGGGTAATTTGGAGAGGAGCAATTCTGGAGATTGGGAAACTAATTAGAAGGTTTTCCAGTAGTGCACGTAGAAGATTGTAAAAACCTTAAATTATGGAGAGGGAAGAGGCATAGATAATCTTGAAGTTATCAGTTAATGAGAGGATGGAAGGTGATGTCATGAACCAAGATAGGGAATGCAGAAAAACAGGCATCTTTGGGAGTATACAAGTGTGCAGATCTGAACTCAGTTTGCACTGTGGCAAGTCTGGGGTACCCATGGGACACCCAGGAAGAGAAGTCCAGGAGGTAGATGAAAAGATGTGTACAGATTAGGTATGAAATAGGTTAGGTTAGGGTTGGAACCATGAAAGTTAGTAAGGTTGCAGAGGGAAAGAGGATCGAGCAAGAAAGAGATGAAGACCAAGGATAGCACCCCACGTTCACAGCACAGGGGCACTAAGCTGAATGTGGTGAGTAGGGGCTGAAATCCAATCCAGGCTGTGCTTGGCAAGCCAGGCACCCCGGCCCAGGGCTGTGCCCGATTGAGAGAGTATGATGTACCTTTCACTACTTCTTACAAGGATGCCATATGGGGGTTGCATTAACTCTAGAAACAGTAACATTTAAAAGTTGGGGTGAAGACAGAGGAGCCAGCAGGAAAACAGCAGTCAGAGAAGTAGGAAAGGACCTGGGCAGTTATGTCCTGGAATCCCAGGAATGCAAGGAAAAGATGATAAATGGTACTAAAAGTTGCAAAAGTCAAGTAAGATTGGGTTTGACAACAGAGTCAGAGGCAACCTTAGAGAGGGCAGTTTCAGTGGAAGGGCAGAATGGGCAGAAGCCACATTACTGTGAGTTAAGAGGGAGGCAAATGTTAGGGAAGCTGTTTGAGGAGAAGCAGAAAACTTACGTCTACTGGAAGATGAAAGGAAGGAGCCAGTAAAGATGAGAGATTAAATATATCTTGGAGAGGGTACAATTGCTCAGGAAGAGAAGGAGATAGAATCACTGAGAAGGTGGAGGGGACCAGTTTTACAGCTACTGCCACCCTTTTCATGCCGGTGATTATATCATATTTCCCCACCCATTCCCTGAGATTCCTATCATCATGTCTTGCTAGGTCTCCTACTCTGTCCTCATTGTCAGGGTGGCACCCTTAGTATCACCTTGCCACCCAGCAACTTACACCCATGCACTCAGCCCCCATGTGGGCACAGAGAGGAGGTACAGAATAAAACTGGTTTCTCAGGGGGTCCACCCCAAATGACCCACCCAGGAAGATATTTTTCCAAAAATAAAATTCTTAGGACCTATCCCTCAAACTCCAGCCAGAAGGAATGTTGTAGGCCTAGTGACACCATGGGACAAAGCAACCAGAAACAGAATTCTAGTGTGAAATCCATAATATAAGAAAAGAGGGCTGGTGTGATGGCTCATGCCTGTAATCCTAGCACACTGGGAGGCCGAGGTGGGAGGATCTCTTGAGCTCAGGAGTTTGAGTCTGCAGTGAGCTATGATGATGTCACCACACTCTACCCAGGGTGGCAGAGTGCCATTGCAGATATGCCTTCTGCTTCTTGCGTCCATGGGGTTCCACCCAGTTAAAGCAAACAGGCCCAGCCTCAAGGCAAATTCTCCACCCCATGGCACCTCCTTTGCTGTCCACCAATCTTTGACATGTGTTGGTCAACTGCTTCTATTTTTATGGAAAAGACCAGATTTTATGTTGATTGAAAGTCTGGACTAGAATCCAAAACAAACATTCTGAAATTTTATGAAACTCAGTCACCTGTAAGTATTGCCCTAACTCCAAGATTTGCCTTGGTCAAAAAGCCTCCTGATATTTCACCAGCTCTGATAGTAAACTTCAAAGTTCACAGATTGGCGGTCTACTGACCCAAATTCAGCTCCTGTGTGTTTTGTTTGGCCTGCAGAGTGATTTAAAAATTTTGAGCCATACCAGTTGTTACGGCATTGGAAAAAAAAAAATTTTTGAGCCAATATTTACCATTGTGGAGTTTTATATACAAGTCTGAGTAGCCAGGTTCTCTTGAAAATATTATTGGTTTCCCATGATAGTCATTTTTCCATCAGAAGTGTAAAAGCAAGTGTTACAGCTCTTTTATAATTTGTCTATCGGGTTTTATAGTTTCTACCCCTCCCCCAAAAAACAATAAAAAAGTGAAAAAAATAATAGATCCAGGGGGGCCATATAATTTTCTTTATATCTAGCTTACTTTACTCATTTATGTTTATTGCCTACGGATATTTGAATTCTACAACCCCTGATAATAGAGTGACCTCAGCAGGAGTCTGGGAGGATTATCTTTCCCCTTCCACCCTCATCCCATTAACCCCATAATTTCTGCCTCCCTGGGATGAACAAAGCCAGCAGGACCTAACCCTGCTAATGCTTTGAGATACAGGATCCTGGGACTTTCTGGGCCTGAAGAATCCTACATCCCTTCACTATGATTTCTCCAGAATGTGGCATGCACCCATTTGAGTCCAGACGATCTGGCAGTTTTAGGACTTCTACCTTCCCTGCCACTCCTGAATTCCATGTGGGCTTAACCCAACCCTTGTCTCCCCTCCCTCAGCCCAAAGAACTTCAGATTCGGATTTTAGGTGTTTCAGCATATTCAACGTTAGTTGTAAAGTATGTCTGTTTTTTTTTTTAATACTATCTAATACGCTTCAATGTTGTTATACCTGAAATATTGTTCCTGCCTCTGGCTATAACATTTCTGCCAGTCACTGTTCTAGGTGCTAGCAATTCACAGAATATTCCAGGCAGAGGAGAGAGCATATGCAAAGGCAGAGGCATGAATGGCTTTGAGTGTGATTTAGGAACGATGAGAACATCTGGTCAAGTTTTATGAGTATTTGAATTATACAATTTTGAAATAGTCCATTATAAACCATTAATAACACCTTGCTATATGCACACAACTTGAAGCAATATGAAGCCCTTACAATATTTAACATTTGTCAGGAATCTCATATTTTCAAAGCTGGCAGTGGTGCTAAAGTGAATAAGAAACTGTTTGTGCTATTGCCACATGGCGGAGCCATTTTAGCTAGAAAAATAGTATCTTCCCTTCAATAAATTTACATTTATTGCTGTGAGAAAAACAGTCTTGAATTATGGAAGTTTTAAATTTTGTGTGAAGGTTTCAGGAATGTATCCCTTTCATAAAATTCCAGCTGTTCTAGAATTTGGTGTGTCAGGAATGAGGAGTA